ACAACAACTCCTTGACTGTTCTTGAATGGCCCAGCCAGAGCCCTGACTTAAACCCCATTGAGCATCTCTGGAGAGACCTGAAAATGGCTGTCCACCAAGGTTTACCATCCAACCTGACAGAACTGGAGAGGATCTGCAAGGAGGAATGGCAGAGGATCCCCAAATGCAGGTGTGAAAAACTTGTTGCATCATTCCTAAAAAGACTCATGGCTGTATTAGCTCAAAAGGGTGCTTCTACTAAATACTGAGCAAAGGGTCTGAATACTTATGACCATGTGATATTTCAGTTTTTCTTTTTTAATAAATCTGCAAAAATGTCAAAAATTCTGTGTTTTTCTGTCAATATGGGGTGCTGTGTGTACATTAATGAGGAAAAAAATGAACTTAAATGATTTTAGCATATGGCTGCAATATAACAAAGAGTGAAAAATTTAAGGGGGTCTGAATACTTTCCGTACCCACTGTATATTGTTAACAGCTTAGAGCAGACATCCATGCTATTAAGTCATTTGCCTTTTGCTATATGAAATGACCCAAGTGAAACTATCCATCCAGATACCCCCAGTTCAATCCGCCTGAATGAGTTTTGTAAACACTTTAAATCATTCATGTCTCTCAGCAATACTGTATCTGCATTCTTTAATGATGTGCTGTACTCAAGCTCAGGTGACTCATTTCACAATGCATTTTGGGATTGATAGAGGGCCTTGCTGGTAAAATTCACAGTAGTAAGATTTAATCCAGGCAGACACTGCTATCTCTTCTGATCATGTACAATGTGTAAACTCACACTATATATTTTAAATCGGTTGAGATCGGTGAGAATGTGATCGCATAAGGATCTAAATCACGCTCACAAAATGATCAACTGTGCAGCCCTAGTAGATGATGTAGCATTATCAGTGTTATAGTGAAATCTCTTAAATAAATTTGTACCCCCTAAAAAAAAAAATTCCAGAATGTAACGCACAGTTTATGTTTAATTAATAATAAACAATTTAATTTATACATTTGACAATTTCACCAAAAACAGACATTTTGAGCTTCATAAACACAAATGTTGTTGAAGTGTTGCATTAAAGTGCATACAGTTGTACAGGTGTAACTTTTTAATTTGGCCAGGTAGCATATCGTGGACCAAGGTCCTCATCTTGACATCTGTTTTGATATCGACTAGATTCGGAGTAACTTCCTAACGGTAGCACTCACTGTTAATAATGCTGTCAGGCAAGTCTAACTGTCCGTCTTGACGTGTTATCTTTCAGTCGCAGTGTCTGACGGTAAACCAGCAGGTGTTGGCAGCACAGAGAAGCTGGCCCGCTGTCCTGAGGACAACCCAGGAGGCAAGGGAGCAGGGCTGCCTGACAAACCTCCTAGGTCCAAGGACGAAATGCGTGAGCTAGTAAATACTCCCCTCCCATCCACATGGAGGCGCTCTTCTCTCCCCACAGAGGAACCTGCTGTCATGGAGGAACTGTGGCTTCGAACAGCTGGGGATGCTCCTGTTAACCGTGTAGTTCAAACTGGTGTGGGGTCCTGGGGGGGACAGACCTCCCTGCCTGTGGTTAAATCTCGCCGAGAGTCACGTCGCTCCAGTCTCAACATTGGACCACTGATTTCAAACAATGCATTAATTGATGTACGGAAGAATCCTGTCTGAAAAGGGAAACAAAAGTATTCTTACTTTAGACCATTCACATACATTTTGCTCTGTGGTTTCTGTAAGATTTTATTTTGTAATAAACATGGACCACCACTGACTTTTATACAAAGCACTTTTGGTAAAGTTCATTTTCATTTCTTAAAGTAATTGGTGGGTATATGGCCTTACCAGCCAGCCAATCATTTGTATCATTACAAAAGGAGGCTCTCTAATCAAGTGTAGCTGAGGGCAGAGACACACCAAGCTGATGGTCAGCCACCATCGGGCCATCGGTGGGAATCTGCCAGGGCTCATTCTCCCAGTGTGTCCTGAACTGTTGGAACTTGGTGGTGTTTTTTTTTGGCCAATTTGACACGTTGGTTGGGCCTTTCTAGTAAGAGAGAGACAACTCTGATTGGCTGTTTAGTAAATCAATGCACAAGAATGGTTCGAAGAGGCACCTCAGCCTGTCACTGGAGTATCCATTATTCACCCATTTAGTGTGACAAAGGGCAGCAGCTACTGTTTTGAACAAGAGCTGTTCTGTTTATAGCATTCTAGCCCAGTCTGAATGGTGCATACAGACACCGCCAACTGCTGGTAGGGGGAGTTATTTCTGTCACGCAGATGCAGAACAGACATGCTACTCGGCTGTCATCTGTGCAGGCTGTTCAGGTGTCACTTTTTCAGTCTGACTGGCCCAGACTAAGCCTATGTGAAGCAACGCAGAGGTCGGCCTTTGTCACTGCTAGTTCTTTCACATCAGCTTGGTGTGTCTATGTCCCAAGTCTTTTGACCTTCTATAGTATTGTATAATAAATTGTTTTGCCTCCTACCTCATTGGGCTTCTTTTTTCATTTCCTATGACATAACTATAGGAAAAAGATTGTCTGTTTTGTTTTGTCTCAAATTACAATATAATGATAGGAACAATATGATAACAGCTCAGTGTCTATCCTTTGACAGACAAATCAAGACAGGATATTTCAATAACAGGTCATGTCACCAGTGTTCAGTAGAGTACAGAGAAAATCTAATCTGACATGAGATTGTGGACTTAAACATAAGCACTAGAGGGCAGTATGTGTGCAGTGTTTGACATGAGTAATATTTTTGGAGTCAGTTTTTCCTCTAGACTGAAACAAAGTACACCCCCTTTCATACCCCCTCAGATTATGTATAAAATCTGTGTGCCCCTTTAACACAAATCAGACTGAGATGTTCAGGTACTACTGCACAGATTAAACTACTATTATGCAATAGATAAATCCAATAATAGTCTAAAAATAAATCTAGCATCAATTTAGAATACATTATTCAAGCTCTAAAACAGGCCTAGTGATGCTGGAGCACTACTGTGTAACAAAGAAGGTGGGGAATAGTGCATCTTGGGAGATTCTTGCATCAGTAGCACAATTTGCATGATGCAAGGAAAAGAGTAATAACTGCAGAAAACAAAGTGTTTTCAACTCACCAAAGCTAATGTCAATCATTTTGTAGGCGTTAGCTACGTTAGCAATTTATTTTCTTGTAAAATAGGCCATTCTGCTATCTCTATTGTTACTATTCACAAGAATTATACCCCAATGAAGTTATAGCCCACTTCATGTATTCTCTGTGGAGGCTAACCTTTATCCATGCCTGTAACTACCATCCTGAGTTTATGGTATAAATTAAAAAAACAATCAGCTGTTTGATTAACTTGGAGATGCTGCCAGTCGCACTAATATTTGTCCAAACACCGACTGTTAAGTGACAGGTCTTTCCTGTTGCTAACTTACATTTTATTTTGAGATCAAATCTCCTCTCTGTTATTTTTCAGCACTTATAACTCATTGTTTTTACAAATGCAGCCACTCAGAATTGCACACACCAGCTGGATGGCTTTCATCAAATAGCACTACACCTCTTTACTTACCTGTTACACTGGGTTTCACATTTCTAGTCAAAGATCTATTAAACATGGTCAATGTGCTTAAGTTATGTTACAAAATAATTAGTAAAGTTTGCTAGAACAAAGAAGATAAGGTCTGTGAACATTCATCTGAAATCTAATATATCACGCAGATGCTATCATAACCCTGCAATTATGTAGACTGTAAAACGATGCTGTCAATACAGCTTCATTAAAGCACAAGGGGTAGAAAGAGGGTTTAACAGCTGGGTGTCACTGCACTGTCTTCACGTATAGATTACGATGTTATAGCCTACTTCAGTCAGAGAAACAAGGAAGAGCGGCAAAGGCATCAAGTGCAGATTTGTCTCACAAGAGTTCGACTCTACCTTGAATTTTGCTCTGGTGTCATTTTTCAGTTTTGCTCTCTCTTAACAAAGACGTGTGAGAGTAGTATATTGTCAGATCTGATATTCTGGCCTTGGTTCCACAGCGGTCCAGCCAGCAATTTAATAAGGCTGGATCTGTACATTCATTCTGAGATGTTGTCTTATTTGATCGTTAACCTGAGATGGTTCTGAGTTGCGCTTCCCTGCACTGAAGGACGGTGCACTTTCACACCACCTGATACACATTTCTGGCTGAGGACTGCTATACATTTCAGTAGCTTGTATCTATAAGGTGCAACCACTGATGGGTGACAATAAAGGGAACAACAAACTTAGTAAAGTGCCTCTACAACAGCTTCAGTGCTCCTCTGTTCTCATAAAACATATTCCCTCATTGTGCCCAATCCACTTTTTCATACTCACTAAGCCATTCAGTAACCATTAGTCAATCCACTGATAGAAAATTAACCGGCAACTAGGGGTGTGCAATATATAATGTCTAAAATAATATCTTAATTGTTGTTTTTACAATGTGCCAGCTGACATTTTTGAATATGTGGTAACTTACTTCAAGTTCAGATGTTAACTTTATCCCGCTAACCCGACGGTGTCGATACTGGCGACTCCAGGTGGATGCAGTCCAGCGTCCTCCTGGCGAGCTGCGTTAGCTGGCCGCTAACAGTCCAATTTCTTCCCACGAACACGCAATTTGGCTCCGTCCTTCATGTCATTGTATCTCCAGCTTATTACTTACATTCTATAAGCACTCCGACGAGTTGTGTTACTGTTAACACAGCTGTTAATTAGCCTGTCCATGATGCTAATTCCACTGGCTGAGCTAGCTAGCAGTCCTCATGCACGATGAACAATCACTTCAAATTTCAGGCGAAATTCCCATATAACTCCCCAATTTATAATCATATATCTAGTTGACAACTCAGAACATAAGCTATTATTATAGTTACTGCTCCAACTTTCAAAGCATACAGATTTAGCCTTATAAGCTTGCTAACACTCGGCTCTGCAACCCACTACCTGGCCCACAGGATACATCCTGTTTACGTTAGATCACGCTCTCTCTGCGTGCTACCTCCACGTGTCATGCTACAAAGGTATATTTCACCTTTTTCAACCCGTCACCACTCGGTGAAATTAACTTCTTAACGTAAAGTACATCTATATATGTAAACACTATTAAGCAATGTCTATCACTTAAACACAGTACGAGTAGGCCTACATATCCATTTAACATCATTATAACTCAACTTATTTAATTGTTTGTAAGCTCTATGACAACTGGTGGGCCTATTTATAATAGGCATGCCCTATCTACTACATTAAACATAACAAAAATTTATTTGTGCAGTTTTCCATATGGGCTTTACAACAACACACAATCTCATTGTGCCTTGCTGTCTGCCATTGTGCCATTTTACCACCGGGGGGCGCCAAAGTCAAATATTGTCACATTCTCTGTAGTGGCTCTGGGTCAAAGATAAACCACCAACACCTTTTCTTACAGGTATGACAGTGCATTTCATGGAGGCCCATGCGTGTCAGGCTGACTCACATTATCAGTGTTACATATCTCTATTAATGACAATGGCTAAATAAAATGGTTTGAAAAAAAATAAAAATAATAATGGCAGTGCAGCTGAAGCAGCATCCCGTCGAGGAATTTAATTCATTATCTGTTTCTTGAGCTTCTTCCCAATTATACCATACACTCCTCTAGAGTTCAATTAATAAAAGGAGCCATATAACATGCTGCACGACTGAGCTATAATGCCATATTTAAATTGAACTTAACTTGGGCTAGATGATCTACATGCATTAATCATGTGTTTTGTTTATTTTGTTTATTTTTAAAGTTCCTTGTCCACACAGACACGAGTTAAACCAGCGAAGGCTACATCTGAACATCTGAAACATAACTGGTTCTAAATCGATAACATAATCTCTATACACACACGGAGACCATATGTGATTGGCTCTCAGCAACTTGCTGTCGGTGTGACGTCAGAGGATGAAGCATTTAGAGAAAAGGAGAAGAGGTGAGAGGAGATAACTGGAGACTCCCTCGGGGGTCGCAACACAGCCTCAGGACCGCGGACTGAGGAAAAACACATTCACACAGAGCGGACAAAAGGCTTGTTTGTGTGGCAGAGCACCCCACATCTCTGTTCGTCTGACGGGAATCAGCAAGGACCTGGGAGCCTTCTGATCACGGATACAAATACATAATACAACAAGGAGCTCTCATCGCAGCCAGAGTCGGCAGATGTTGTGGGATGTATCGATCTGATCCACGCGCTCACCTGTTTGGTCGCACGGAAGCTCGTGCCCTGCACATCTGGAGCCAAAGTGATGCTACACCGACCGTGCTTGTTCCCACATGTGGATGTTTTTCAGCCGCTTTGGTTGCAGGAGCCGTCCTGCACAATGGAAAGTGAGTCTTTTGGATTCCGTGGTCTCTCATTAGTTTCCACAGACCTGCTCAGGCGTCTTTTAAATAATGCATCTCATTCTCAGTCTGCAGATGCATTGGCCAATTAGACATGTTTTAGGCACAGGATGGTACAGATTCTGCATTATACTCAAGTATGATGTTTAAAATAGGGCCCGTGGTCAAAACCACACATCGCCAATTAGACCAATTCACATTTCTCATAGTGTAAATGTATAAGCTATGAATAGTTGTGTACAAAGACAACGTTAGACCATTTATTGTGACACTGAAGTCAAGTTGTTCTGGCCTGTTCTGGTTTATCAAGAGGCACTCACAAACCCGCTAGAATATAACCAACTTCACACCTATAGTTTTAGGATTATCTTACTTGTCTAAAAATTACGACAGACACATCTTAGACACAGTCTCAGACCTGTTGTCTTATGAATATATTTATTTTAAAAAGCTATTATGAGTGTATTTAAATTTATTTTCATCTAGATATACAAAGTGACGCATGTCTTGTTAGTGCGTCTATTTCCCAATTAAAACCACTGACGTCAGACGTAATGACCACGAGAAGCGTGAGTTCATCATGAGTTTATTTTGGGTTAATATATAGATTATATTATAAATACGGAAAGGCAGGATGACAAATTGTCTGGTTTTTCAAGTATAACAATATTTATTTGGAGGAAAAATATACAAACAGTTTCAGGATTCATTAAACCAGTGTCAGACTCGTGATCTATTATTATTCGTGACAGTAATGCAGCACTAACATTCACACAAAAAAGATTAATGTAAAATATTAAGGGAAGTATAACAAGGCATAAATACTTTGGCCTACGTGTTCTCTGACAGCCCACATCCCAAAGGTTTGCACAGTTTTATACATTTAGTAATTTTTAAGATAGTGATTCCTAAACAAAAACTCTAAAGGTTGAACTTTGATCAAAAACATAATGTGAAGCTGATTAAAATGTTAAAGCAAGAGGAGTTTCTTGGCTATAGGGTGTATTTAAAATGTGTGGCAGCCTAGACTGCATGTTATATACACTTTATGCACTACTGTCACTGTTTGCCATGGGTTTGAGTTTCTTCATAGCCTATTAGATTGTACCATTTAGTTTATCCTAAATACTTAAATTCAGTTTTCATATTCTATTTATTATGTGTTTGTTCTACTTTTATTCTATTTTAGTTTCTTAAATTGTATGACATTCAATATTAGGTGAGAGAGAAACAGTATTTAGATTTTTCTGTATGTCTTATATAGTGAATTGACAAATAAAAAAAATCTTTGATCTTTTTTTAAGTGGCAAATTAAAGTTTGTTAAAAGCTGCATACTGTACAGTATGTCACCACATCTCCCTTTTTTCATTGGTAGTTGCTCAGAATGGAAATTAATTAGAGCTCATCCACATGGTCCTTCAGCCTGCCAAAGAAATTCATGCATTTTAGGTTCCCAAAACAAACATGTATTTAAATGATGAAAACAATTTTTATTTGATTGAAAAGCAAAAAAAAAAAAAAAAGAGTTTATTTGGTTAAAGAATCTTTATAAAAGCAATTTTAAGGTAGACTTTCTGTTATTGATCAAAAACCCAGTTGTGGCTGTAATTATGCATTAACTCCATAATTTTCTTTGTTCCCAGCCTCAGATTTCCCTTTGGTTCTTGTAGCAAACAGCAGAGCCTGTTCCTTTCTTTGGTTATCTAGCTGTATGAGTGTTAATCATCCATCATAAAGCTAGATAACCGAAAGTAGGAATGACCTCCAAATCCTCAACATCGTCAATGAAATGAAACTCAAAGAAAACACAGATAGAAGAGGATATGAAGTGTCTGCAGGTAGGTTGTGACAAACTAAATAGGTTATTAAACTTAAGATGTAAATGAATTTAACCTTTTGTAAAAAAAAAAATAAAAAAAAAAGCTACTGGGTTTTATTGTCACAAATAGAGCTATCAATTTATGAATAGATCAACTCATAAACAATTTTATAATTGATATAATTGATCATTTGTATAAGTTCAAGTTTCTTCTTTGTGAGGGTTTGTAGCTTTTCTTTATCTTATGTGATGGTAAATTGACTTTAGATTTTTGGTGTTATAAAACAGCAATTTGAAGACATCATCATGGGCTTTAGGAAATTGGTTTGGGCACTTTTCATTGCTTTCACTGAAATTAATCAAGCATTAGATGGTAAAACTTGAATCTTCCATTTCAATTGGAAACAGAAATGAAACAGAGTTTTCATTAATACATTTTTTTTAAATCTTAAATAATTGTATCAGAACAGGTGTCTTCACTGTGGCGCTGGAAATGATGCAAAGCAAGTGGAAGAATACAATATATGTGGCACCATGCTGTAAAATTTGTAAAACTTTGTAAGGAACCAAGGAGCAGATTTTAAACAGTTCCAGCTGTTAAAGAAGTAACACACCACATATCCCTGACTGAACTCATGCATGTTTAAATTAAAATTAAAATACATTTTTTTTAAAACATTAGGTTAGGGTTGTTTTGCGGTTTTAGAAATTCAATAAATTAGGCCAAAACCCCCCATTTGCCAGCATGAAAAGCCATAATTTCTATTATCACAATGATGCATAGTTCTTTACCTTTGCAGTGATACTAAATACATCATTTTACTTTGATTGCTACAGAGTTTTAAATTTAATATCAGACTTTATTCAGTGTACAAGCATATTTCCAATAATTTTACAAAGGCAAAAACCCTCTAACTGCCGCTCTGCCATCTTTAGTACAAAGGGACTGTGCAGGGGCCACATGTAGGACTGTGCAGCTGAGGGCTCACCCTCCTTCACTGCGAGAACATCATGTTGTCTGTATGGAAGCCATCTTGACGGAGTTTGCCTGCTGCCTCTAAAATGGTTGTGTTGGCACATAGCAAGGCTGCATTAATTGGTCCGTCGTTGGCTGTCTATCAGACCCCAATCAGCACTGTCTTATTACTCATCTCATCTCCGGTGATCTCACTAACCAGAGATGTGGCTAATTAGTGAGGCCTTTTAAAGGTCAATCAGTGACGCAGTGTATGTATAACTGCTACAGTAATTGAACTGAATAAATCAGGGTTTCAGTGGTAGACAATCTCATGACATTTGAGTAAATTAAAGCTGCAGCTACATTCCTGTACACCTGGCAGCTCTGAGCCCCCACTGATGGGGGAATAATCATCACAGGTAAAACGTCCTGCAAGTCTAATTAGTTAAATCAAGTACAAAAATCAACACATTGTAGAACAGAAAGAGTTGGTAAGCACTCTTCACATTATAAGATAAGCTGAACACCTCTTGTCAGACCCACTAAAACCAGACCCCCAAATAAAAAGGGCAAACAGAAAGAGCTGTAATTTTAATGGGGGTGGACTAGGCAGGTGAAATGTATTAAAAAATTTAACAACACTTTTATGCTTGTAAATGCTTCTGTACAATACATGTGCATTTGTTCATTTAAAAACGTTTCTCAGTTAAATAATCCAAAGTATTGCTATAGTGTTAGCTCACATTTACAGAAATGATCCAGATTCTATTCGAATAAAATGACTTAAACCAAATATTTAGATACATTAATTAATAAACGAATACATAAATAAATGAATAAATGAATGAATGATAATATGGGACCTCTTGGTTGAGACTGTAAACCTGCTGCTCTAACAAACCTTCGTGTTAATTAATGCATTAAGTATTATTTATTATTTATAGGTGTAAAAGAGATACAGCAAAGTCAATTTGTTCATGAACAGTGGAGACTGAAAGAAATCTGGATCATTTTACAACCTTATATTTAAGAAACTGCTGGGACGAGCAGCGGAGGAGGTGATAGTCAGACTGGAGATGAAGGCCTTGTATCTGGTCCCTTTCCCAAAAAGAGTTCATTCATTAATAAACATTAGTAGATAAAAAGCACAAACGTAACTTACCTTTATTTACCTAAAAATGCATGCACATGAAACATCTGTCCGTTTGTGCTTTTTCCAGTAAATGTAAACACTGCACATTAAAAACAACTCCCTCCCTCTTGCATCAGTCTTCAATTGTTTATCCTCCGGCGACGACCCTCTGTTTCCTCCTGTGATGCTGATGAACAGAGGAGATTAGATTTACAGACAGCCTGAAACTCAGGTCCATGAGCGGACTCACAGTTCACTACAATTAAATATAGCCCAGAAAAAACGAAACGAACCTCGTTTTGTTGACATTTTAGCTGGGATATTTTATACCAGGCTTACTTACAGGCATCTCTGTTTTATCCGCAGTGTGATTAACCCCCCCATACAGGAAACTGCTGCAAATATAATCCCTTTTTGCAGAAAGTCGTTATCCGACATCAAGCTGGTCTCTCCACCAGGCCATCGCTGTGGCACAACGCAGGCCTAAAAAAAGGTGGAAAGGGCAGGAAACAATCATGCAATTCCAGTCGATAATGAATAGGACACAGACAAGCTCTGCATATTAACATAATTGCATAGAAACGAGGAGAGCAGAGAGAGTATTTAAAGGCGCAGCAGCACCAGCAGGTGCACCCCCCACCCCCCCACTGTTGTCTGCGTGCGTGTCTGGACAACACCACCAAAGTGTATATGACTAAATTATGGATGGGTAAAATGGACTGTTTTATATTATGCTCATCTGTCCGAATTCTGTTTGCCTTAAATATTTGTTAGGCCTGTTTCGTCCTGATATTTAAACGACACCTCAAATGCTTCACTAGCATAACAAGGCAGATAAACACAGAATTGTTCAGTGTATTCACCCATGAAACCATCCAACCAGGGCCACATGGCTAGACTGTAGAGATTTGGAGTCAAAGTCCCCTCATGCACCATTGTTTAACTTGTTCAATGTGATGTTCCAGTACATGTTGTTTTAAAGAATTTTCCATATAGCAAGGATTTAAATTCAGGCAGAAAAAAGACCAAATCCTCTATTTTTGACTTAAAAGTATTGCAGTTTAAATATAGTGTGCCAAAAAAATGCTGCATCCAGCTCATAAAAGCCCACTAATCACACACAATGTGAACGGTGACATTCTGTTATCGGCTGACTATCTTCAGTGAGCCAAATGTGATGTATGTAACAAAGACTTTTGTAAAGTTTCTTTAAAAATCATATAAAAGGACATCACTGTTTTTAATAGCCAGTGCCATGGCTTGAAAAATAAAGGGGGAACTGTTCCTTTATTAGAAACCAGACTGTAATTAGACACGCAGCTTGGGGGAGGGGCCATGTGTGAAGCCGGGTGATAACATGAGCTCATACAGGAAAATACCCAGTACATGTGTAAATCACCAAAAAGGTTTCATTTGGAAGATTTGTGTGTGTGTGAGAGAGAGAAAGAGATTCTGTACAATTTGTAGATGTGAATTAATATCATCATTATGTAATAAAATAAAAAAAAACACCAGAAAAGATTTTAAACCAGAGCTGCTGAAAAAAATCAACTATAACATATAGTATGTATGTTTATTTATTTGCCACAAAAGACTTAAGCATTTTGAAGGCTGCAGAGATTGTGAAGCAGGGAGGCTAATAGTTAAATGGTTAAAACAGTTTATTTTCTTTTTATCTTTTTTCTTTATTTTTTGATGATAAAAAAAAATTGACATCCGTTTTCCTCCTCATTCCTTTTGGCATTCAGTCAGCGCACAAGAACTTATTTGTTCATAGTTAATCTGCTGTAAACTGTAAGATCATTGTTGGTTTTTTAGTCTGATTTACATTAAGGACAAACACAAAGTGACCTGCAATATGCACTTATGGTGTTTTTCCCCCTTTGATGCACAAACCCAGTGCATCCCTCCCACAGGCTGCAGATTGGCACTGACCACTGCCAGTGGCAGGAAACTTGTTGGTAAACATCAGCCAGAGTCCACATTATCATTCTGATTCTGGCTTCACTCAACAATGGCTGCTTTGTGAAAGAAGCACTTAATAAAGGTCTGCCACCTCTTTTCCCCAACAATGTATAAGCGAGAGGCTGCTGCAGTAAACACTGAGCACAGGGGGGAACAACGCTCCAGACTAGACGGTGGCAGATGCCTGCATTAGCACTGCAGCCATAAGAGTGTCTCCTGGAAAAGCTGGCCTTTTGTCTTCCTGCCTCTATATCTCACAGTGTATGGGCGTGTATGACTGTCTGGTCTCATGCCAGAGCTAATGTTAATGAAAAAGAATGTGGCCATTGTGTCAAATGTGTATCCTTCTTCATTCACAGTTCTCCGCTTTGTAGAGATGTAGCCTCCCTAACATCTAGTATGGTTTTATTATGACGTAAACAACCCACACAACACACTGATCTCACTATTAAAAAAACAACAATAACAAATAAGAAATCCCAAAGCACATTTTATGTAATATGGGGCCTAGACAAGAGACAAATACAAAACCATAGATGTAACACAAACATGGTGTTATGCATACAACTGAAGGAAGAAGACACGAGATGAAAACGCAAATGTTTTCTTTATGTGTGGTCAAACAATAAGAATAATTACATCATACATATTCTGGATCCAGATCGCTCAAAATCCCCCAAATCCAGTTTGTTTCCACTAAAAGAGATGCAGCCTCCTTTCAGTTTCATTAGTAAACTATTAGCAAATAGTTCTTCTTTTATGACTGATAGGATGAATCTAAGAGCTATTGGTGAGTGCTGTCTGAACAAATAAAACAGAGGCTAAAGAGGAGTTTTTTTTGATTGCCCACAATACAGTTTAATGTAATGTTTAAACAGGCAGCATCAGAAGAATAAGACAGAGACACATGCATATACATATGCAAGATCTAGGTTTGGTTGTAAGAGTGTCGGAAGACTTTGAGAGAGATGTTGGGCACATGTCTTTTTGGGGGGTTAGAGTATCTGTCCCTGTTGCCATGTGTCAGAGGCAGGCAGCATGTTAACAGACAAAGATATTCAAGTACAACGCAGACCGGCCTCTGATTGGCTCTGTCGGTGTGCTGATGGACAGTGACGCCTTCATCACCAGGTGTCATTCACTGTATCAGCTGTTTTGGTTTCTTCCATAAGACCTTGCTCTCACCCATATAAAGCCAAGGGATTGCCTTCCTGGTCCCAACAGGATGGTTTCATATCTCAAAACCAGAACCTGTATAATCAGGCAGTCCTGAATGCTTGACAGTGTACTGTATTTTTTACACCCCTGCAGCCCTTTCCCTCCCACAAGGAGACCACAGCTGCGATCCATAATCTGGGGATAAAAACGATTATCCTGCTATGGCTTGTTCATGGCTTTGTAACAGCGGCAGGGGACCTTTCACAGCTCCTTTTTCCCATGGCCGAGTGGGTCTGAGCAGCTAAGACCACTGATGTGGACCGGCCGCCATTCATTGGCTTTAGGCTGGAGCAAGAGGCACGTCACACCAATGCTGAGGCTAATAGATGGAGATAAACACTGAATGTTAAAACTATTATCCACATTATTATTGAGCTGCAGCTCCTCACAGTCTTTATCTCAACTGTCTCAAAGATCCTTCTGAAACTCAGCGTTACTACTCAGCATAGTGTGTGACAAAATTAGAGAAATCAAAAGCAGATTGTGTGCATATTATTAAATATTACATTTTTCATATTCTTACCGGTAGTAGTAGTAGAAGTTTTAAAAACCTATTTATTTATTTATTTGTTTGTTTTTGTTTTTGTTTCATTACAACAGAACATTTTATAATAATGAAATTGCAATGACATGTTTATTTTTATTTCTTCATCTAACAAAACAAATCCTCAGGAGAAAATCAACACACTGTTACCACTATTATTATTATCTATATTACCCTTCAAATCAAGACAAACACTTGTTTACAGATCAGATTTTTAACATATGAAATGATCAAATTTATGAAAAAGGTCAGGAACTACATCGCAGACCACAGTCTCTAATAAATTGATTTCCATTCTCCCCCGCCAGTCGCCCAGACAAGTCAGTCAAGTTCAAGTTCACAGGAGAATGTAGAAATGTCTCGAGTCTTCATTCACCCCTGTTAAACTCCCCCTCCCCCTGTGACTGCATGGCATTAGGGGCTGTGGCGTTGCTATTGGAAGCAGGCTGGATGGCCCGGCTATGTGCTGGTGAAAAGGACAACCTGTCAGAGAGAGAGAGAGAAACTTAGGTTCCCCCAACAGCTGGGCATAGTCCCCCCCCCAAAAAAAGCCTTTCAGACATCCACCAGGACCCTGGGAACACCAGGAATTTCACATTCATCATCCTCACACACACACCCTGCACCCCTCTTTCAACCTCCTCCTACTATTCCCCTAATTTTTGTGTCCAACCTTGCAGCCTTCCGCCACTTAACATCACTCTTCGCCTACACTTCCAGCCACCATCCTCCCTCCCACACATACATTTGTACTGCTTTGTGAGGACACTCACTGACATATCCCCTTGGCCTTTACCCTAATCATCACATCCTAACCCTTATCCTAAGCCTAATTATAACCTGAACCCTAAAACAAGCATATAACCTTTAAACAGCCAAAAGAGAAAGTGAGGAGTGGCCAAAATGTTTTCACTTTCCCAAAATGTCCTCACTCCCATATTTAAAACTCAAACTGGTCCTCAGTACAGTATATATACACACATTTGTTTTCATTGCTGGCTGGGACTAAGCCTACACCTCACCCTAACCAAGTCATCACCCTATAAAACATCATGATTTACATGAAGAAGGCCGAGTCCCCACAGTAGTTTCAATCTCCACAGTGTGAGTATTGCCAGGTGTGTGCACACACACACTCATTCCTCTCTTCTCACGGCCAACATCTGCATAGTGTATTCAAGTAAAAGATTTCAAATATTTAAAAAAAGGTGTGAGGAGGAGGATGATGGCATTTTCAGACAGAATCACTGTGTGTATGTCCTCTGGTATCATCTGTTTACACAGTCACACTGTGGGAACCCGACATCCTTATGGGGACTATTAGCAAGTCCCCAAAATGTAAATCATTACATTTTAGGGTGATGACTTGGTTTAAGGTTAGGACGAGGTTATGGTGTTAGGGAAGTAGAGGTCATGGTTAGGGCTAGGGTGAGGCTCCAGCAAATGAATGTAAGTCAATGTGTCAATGTAATGTCCCCTGAAGTGATGAAAACACATCTCTGTGTGTGTGTGTGTCTGTGTGTTAGTGTGGAGGAGGAAGACAGAGATTTTGTTGAGGTCTCATTCAACTTTGAGCATGAAAGGCTGGTAATTTGCATAAACTGCATGCTGTCCAAGGGGCTTGGGGTGGCAGCCACGCTGAGAAAAGATATAAGGAGACATAAAAAAAAGAAAGCACGATCCAGTATTGTGGAACTCGGGAAGAAAGAGGAGGGTTGAATAAGAGAGAGGGTGAAAATTGGCAAAGAAAGAGTCTTGCCATGTCTCCCAGTGGGATTAAATTGTCCAGGAACCTCTTTATATATAATTTGGTGAATCCGGCAGCAGCATGGCCGCAGGGCTGAACATGATCTCACATCGAATTTCATTTGACAAGAGTTACATATGCTGAAATGATGCAACCAGTGGGAGAAGAATGTAAATGTTCAGAGTGGTCCACTTGACATCATTTAATCATCATGTTCAAATGCTGAGTTCACTGTATTATGTTTTGTTTTTGTCTTTGTTTTTCTTTAGAAAAGGACCACGATAATGATGGTGCTGCCACCATGTTGTGGAGGATCTTCAGAGCTTGTGTCACTGTGTTAATTACATGGATTCATCGAACAGGACATGGGCTTTTGTCTCTGTGCAATTAGGAGACTGCTAGGAAATATTCTCTCCTGCATGTCAAGTGTAATAACTCAGTACAGTTTTAACCACAGTTGATAAAAAAAATTCTAGTCTGTCACCAGTACTCTGCATAAAAACAGTCGTTTTAAGAGTGATTTTTCATACTTTAAAAGATATTTCTTCATACTTGTATTTGAGTGTTTTTTTATTTTAGAGATTTTAGGCTGATTTCTGAAAAATGAACAAAAATGCTGATGGACTTTAACTGAAATGTCATCTTTGAATTTTGTCCCAGCTGGCATTTTTAGCAGCTGGATTATTAGTTGAAGGCATTAAAAACAAAATATTGGAAGGGTGTTAATTTCATTCATATACTTGGCATTTGAATTTATCAGAACAAACTGAATGAAATGTGTTTTGTTATTATTTAATAAAATCATTCTTGGAGACGTGATGATTGTGTTATTGTGTTTTTATTCATGCTGTTGAAACAGCGGATAAAGTCAGTTCTTTGTCAAAAACAAGCACAGAAACATCTGGTCAGTAACAAAGTGGCTTCCTTGTTGCATTGTAGGGCTATTTTTGTGCTATTTTGCCACAAACTCAGTAAAAACATTAGATCATGGTGGGACAAGTAGGGAAACATTTGTTTATTTTGACTGGATTCATATCTGATAATAACAATTGAAAAAATTAGAGCACTGGCAAAAGGAGAAAAACGGCAAAGATCACAAAAAGTGATAATATAAAAATGTTCATCAGCTGCCAAACAGACAACAATGGTGGTTTAATAATGTGACCTATCTCTCTATACAGTGTTTTTAAAGTTTAATATGTTCACTTCCCATGTCTCGACAAATTCTCTGAGAATCTGCATAACAGTGTTATGTCATTTGTGTTAAAAAGAACATAAATATAGATATAGCCTATAATTTTTATATAGGATATTACGACAGTGATCTAATGGCTTGTCCACATCAGCTATTTTTATTTCTCTCATCTCATCTAATAAACTCACCACATAATCGCAAATGAAGATTTTAAAAAGCAGCTATTGTGCGGGGTAAACGTTACTATTCAGTAACATAAATGATACTCACAAACCCACAGCCGTATATGCAGCCTGTTTGTGTATTTTATTTATTGAAGATCAGTAAAATGGCTCCCACAGTGTGAAGACCTCATGTCCGGAGAGCATCAATCTGCTGCTGGACAGAAGGGTCATGACCTCTCGCTCTCCTGGGACACAACTTGACCTGACACAAGTACACAGACACGTGTGCGCTCCCCTAGTGTGTCCCTGTCACATTTCGTTGCTTGATGACATTTGCTTGCTTTGCTTTTTCCCTTCTATTTAATATATTTTAATTGAATTTTAATAAGTTTAACATTAACAAAGGTAGGATGTCCTGCACGTTCCACAGTCTGACTGGACACAGTGTTTGTGTGGTATCTTTTCTTCTAGTAGACCATGACGAAGTTATAATTCAGGTCAAACATGATTCTGAGACATTTTAATAAAGCCCCGTCCTCCTGAGCTTTATAGCAGTCCATTAAGAGATGCTGTTGCGTTTCATCTTCATTAATATAAATCATAGGACATTTTTTATGACAACTCCATGAACCCACAGCTCTCACAAGAAGTCTGCCACCAGAAATCAGCCACATGTCAGTGCTTTTCCACTTCTGTGTTTTGGCTACCCTCTATATTTAAAATCATAGATAAAAACCATCCAGCGTCCTGGTACCATGAAAGTTTATGTATACGTATACTCTATAATAGGATAAGGTCTTATTTCACCCTCTCAAAGACAAAAAGATGTTGTCAGTTGTTAGGTATTTTTAGTCAGATAGATATTGGATAGATACTTTATGTATTAGAAATGTTTAGTGGAGAGAGGATGTCTAGTTAGACTGTTAAATGCTTAGTCATGCTTATGAGTTTCTACAGGGTACATCTGGTCAAGGATAACTAGAAAGAAGAGTTGATGACTGTCAGCAGACAGGGTGTTTAATATTATTATTATGACGTGTATAACTGTAGCCTTAGCCATAATATGTTCTTATGTTTAAGTCACAACATGTTACTAGAGGTCATGAGAATGTTTTTAGCTACACACCACTTAATCAACAGACACACACACATTGATTTGCTTCATGTTTTGACTACTGCTATGGCCAGCTGCAAAGCTGGCAACAGGGACGTCTCGGTTGACGTTTCTGTGTAGTATGGGGCTAGCCCAACCGAGGGGATATAATGTATAGGCCTGGTGGGTTCAGGGTCTTTCATCTTACATCTGCCTGCGTGCAGGTTGGAGGTGCAAGATACCTGAGCATGTAATGTTAATTTTACCTGTGATCCTTTGAATAAATCAGCACTGCTTTGAAGTTACTTGGACTGTCTCGTCTCTCAGAGGTAGCAATGGTAAGAAGAACCAAAGACCAACACAGTGATGTATTAAATGGTAAATGGACTTGTACTTGCATAGCGCTTTTCAATGCATTGCAGCACACCCTAAGCACTCTCACACCATGCCTTTTCACCTGTTCACACACACATTCACACACCAGTAGGACAGCCACCGGGAGCAACTTGGGGTTCAGTGTCTTGCTCAAGAACACATCAACATGTGCACTGGAACAGCTAATCCTTCAGTTAGGAGACTACCCGCTCTGCCTCGTGAACCACAGTCGCCCCATTAACTGTGCCCCTGGGGCCTTTTAGAAGAGTCAAAGGTCATGTCATCACAAACCTATACATAAATGCAAGTATTCACTATCAGAATTCCTTGAAATACTATAAACTTGGAGGAACATAAAGTTTTTACATTTTGATTATGTTTTTGTCCTCGAACAACATTAAATTTCTTTGTTTGTGGTTGTATCGTAATACAACATACGGCTAAAACCTGCCTATTCGCACTTGGCCATTTTTGGCTTAAATTTGTGGTTTCTCCTTTTATGTCCACTTATTATTGCAGCATGTAAAGACACCTCAGACAGTACCTCTGCTCAGCAGCAGTTTGGGGAAGACATGAGGATGTCCCTGTCCAAAGAGACTGCGTTTTTTGTGTGAAACAACGTAACTGGTCTGCAGAACCCTGACCTCAACTCTATCGAACATGACCTGGAAAGTTAACTGCAAGCCAGACCATGTTGCCCACACATCAGTGCTCACACTCATGAGATCTTGTGGCTGAATGTAAGGAAATCTTTGCAGCCAGGTATCAACATATATAGCTTCTGCTTATTTTTGATTTTGTCACATTGAAGTATCAGTGCATTATTTTACAACTATGGCTCTGAGCTGCCAATTCTTTCACTACAAGTGAGATGTTAAAAATAATCTGTAAAAAAAGAGAGAGAGAGAGAAAATAAAGAAACCATGTGGAGAAATAACACTTTCCCTGTGGTGCTGTTAAGTGCGAGTGATGCATGAGAAACTGTTTGACACAGAGCTGACCAGACCAACTCCTGAGCTGCTGGCAGCAGGTGCTCGCTCTCACAGCACTCAGGGTGTATTCACTCATTAATTCTGCTCAGAGTTTCTACTTGTCATCAGAAAGAGATAAATGTTGTCTATTGTGTTAAGAGTCACTGGAGGTTGCATTATTCACGAAAGCTGAGAAATTAATTTCAAGGCAGTGCTGCAGAGCCAAGTACCCTTGTAGGAACTATTATACATAAATAAAGTTGTACTTATAATGGCATTTCATTTGTTACACTGCCAAACTCCAAAATCTGGATTATAGGCAATATTGTTCAGGAGACAGGACTGAATTTAGCCCATATTTGTTTATCGGAACTGTCAAAATGTGGCAGTTGGTAACATCATCATGCATTTGGTCGTAAGACGTTCAGGCTGCACTCAGACGTTGGTGCTCTGCCTCATGAATGATGCAGCTGTAGACCAGGCCTGCATCTGTGGAGGGCTGCAGATGATTGTCCACTTATTTATATCTTCCAGCTCAGTGAGCTTTAGATCTTGTACTCTGCGTTTGCATAAGAATAGAATCAGGTCCTGTGAACTTCCCCAACCTATTGACCCAGCTCCCCAGACATGAATAGCTCTGCACTGAGGCTCCCCAGCCTCTCAAACAGCCTTTAACCATGCCTTAAATCCCAATCATGGTAATTTAATATATCTTAAGCCCCTGGCTGTTTTGCTGGAGCCCCTCTACAGTTTGTTTTAGACATTCTGTGCTTCTCGCCTCATCAGCACTACTCCTTATATGGCAAATTTAAGGGGCTACAAGTTCCTTTTCAGCAGCTAAATGAGCCTCGATTCCATGCCATTTGAAAAAGGTTTTTCCTATTATTATTCAGTCTTTTGATTTAGAAGAAAGAGGAAAAATCTCATCAAGGGTAGATAGCTGAAGAACAACTTGGTGGAACAGACTCAAGCTGTCTTAAATGCATCGCAAGTGGCAGGTCTAGGTCCAGTAATGTGGAGTCTGCACTGAAGACAGTGAATATGTTTTATTTCTAGTGACATAACTTCATTTACATATCATGTATAGATAAACTGAGAAAACCAGTTGGAAGTGCTGATGTGCAGCTTTCACTCAGGAATAAACTGAAGATATTTTAGCGGTTTTACTAGAATACAAATAGAAGTTGGGATAAATCTAAAAGTACAAGTTATATTAGAAATTGTGTTTCTTATATTTTTATGCTGCATTTGTGTGTAACAATAGCCAAAGATATTTTTTTTACAATATTCTGAGCAATTATCTCAAAACAAAACTGTAATTGTATATTGTCAAAGTGCCTGTGTCATTTGTCTTGTGTTTTCAGTTTCTAGCAGCTTCATACCTAATTAAATTCACAAAATATTAGGTCCAGCTTATTAATGAGTTTGTGCTGTATGTGGGGTAAGGGCAGTTTAAAAGGTGATAAACTCAAACAAAAATAAAGCAGGGAAAGTCTGAAAAACAATATAGCTGAAATATTATTTTGGATTTTGAGTGAATACGCATCAAACATCACATCAGATATATATATATATCTCTTTTCCAGCTATGTGAGACCTTTAACAGGGCTGTCAATATAACAAGACTAACTGAAGCTATAAACAGGTATGTAAACTCTACTGCATTTGACAAGAACCGTAAATAAAGGGGAATTTTCACTAATACAGCAGCATCACTCTAGCTTTCAGGAAGATCAGCACCTTTAAGATCAAACCTTACTGCATTACTACGGCAAATTCAATCAAGAAATGACTGAGAATTATTATGACTGCTTGAAGATCAGCACCACTAACCATTACAAAAACAGTTTCTGAGATTGGGTTGAAGATGCTCTGCAGATACAAAGAGCAAAGCAGCGGATTAAATAATAAAACTGTCTTTTTTTAAATGATGTTTTTTTTTATTATTATAAAGACAAGAAAACAATGACATCTTATGTATTACACAATGTGAGAGTCCACGTTTTGGT